AATTATCAGTATTTTCAGATGATAATATATACAAAATCCTAAACACTGCAACAAAAATCTTAGAAAAAATCGTTACAGTAAAGTAGAAGTTTACAAAATACACACACAAAAATTAGCTGCATTTCTACATGCAAACAATTAACTAGAAGAGAAAAAGAAAAGACAAAACCAATGCCACTTGCAATTGTGTCAAAAAGCATTAAGAAACTTAGCGGCAACTTGACAAAGAGGGTGAAAGACACATCAAAAACCATAAGCCACTATAAAAATAAATAAAAGACACAAGGAAACAGAAAACATTCCATGTTTATGAATTGAAAGAATTAGCACTGTTAAAATGACATCCCTACCCAAAGCATTTATACAGATTCAATACAATCCCCAACAACATTTCTAGAGCTTTACTCAAGGGCACAGAACAGATACTGCTAAATTTGCATGGAAACCATAAAACTCCCCAAATAGCCAAATCAATTCTGAAGGGGAAAAAATGGAAGGTAGTGCTCTGTTTGACTTGCAAACAAATGGAATAGAATTAAGAGCCCAGAAATAAACCTTCAGATTGTATTCATTTACAAGACAGTTAATTTACAAGAAGGAGTTAGGCACAATGAATGGAAGAGGGTAAGAAATCCTCTTCAACAAATGGTGCTGGGAAACCGGTAGCCACATACAGAAAAAAAAAAAAAAACGGGGGGAGGGGTCGGCGGGGAAAGGCATGAGATAGAGATCTCACACCACACAAAAGATTAATTCAAAATGGATTAAGACTTTGACATTAAACAGAAATTCATAAAATACATCAACAAACACAGGCAAAACTCTCCATGATAATGACTTGAGAGGTGTCTTCAATTATTCCACTCTATTGGCAAGGAAACAAAAGCAAAAAAGAAACAAATGAGACAAGCTAAAAAAAGTTTCTGCACTGTGAAAAAGAAACAATGAAAAAATGAAATGTTCTCCTTAATGAATGTTAGAACATACTTATTTACCAAAAGTCTGACAAAGGACTCTCATCCAAGATATATAAAGCATTCACAACAAAATTCAACAACAAAACAAACAACCCCATTAGAAAATGGGAAGAAAAGATGGACAAATGTTTGTCCAGTGAAGACACAGAGATGGCCAACAGGTATACAGAAAAAGGGTTCATCCTCACAAACTATCCGGGAAATGCAAATCAAACAGACCATGTGATACCGCCTCAGACAGTGAGAACAGCTAGGTCAACGTCTAAAAACCACCAGTCCTGGTGGGGTTCGATGAAAAATGAACCCGATCTATCTTGCTCAACCGTTAAAACAAACAGTATAGACACATTCCTAAAACTAAGAATACAACTTCCTTAGAATTTCCAGCAATTTCTGAGGAAAGAGGCCAGAGAGACAGTACAGCAGGTAAGGCACTTGCCTTGCACACAGCAGACCAGAGTTCAGTCCCTGGCACCCCATAAGATTCCCTGAGTCCACCAGAGTGACAATGAGTGCATAGTCAGGAGTAAGCCTTGGGCACTGCGAGGCGTGGCCCCTAAAATGCAACAACAACAAAAACCAACCCCCAAAAAGAAAAAAATATGATTTCACTCCTGGGAGCTACCCCAAGAACACAAACACATTAATATGAAAAGATATTTGCATCCCTGTGTTCATTGTAGCACTTCATCTAGTAGCCAAGATGCTGAAACCACCTGAGTGCTTGACAATAGTGAGTTGGTTAAAAAAAAAAAAAATTAAAAAGTGTATGTGTACACAATGGAATAGTATTCAGCTGTAAGAAGAAACCCAACTTGGATGAAAGCAGAGGGTATCATGTTAAGCAAAATCAACCAATGGAAAAGAAGGAAAGGCTGCCAGCAGGAAAAGGATGCCAGCAGGTATCATTTGTGGCACACATAAATAAAGCCAGAAAGTGGACAGTGTCCAGTGGAAACAACCCCCTGGATGCTGACAACAGAAGTGAAATGACCAATGAGGGTTGGGGGTTAGGATGAGGAGTGCCAGAAGTAACCTGGAGACCCAGGGCAGGATTTGGGGTATTTTGGAGGTAGCAGAGGCGCAGTAACTCAGTAACTAATCACTAAAAGTGTAAATATTAACACAAATATTAACACTATTGTGAATAATGTTACATCGATTACTATAATAAACATTTGTAGGAAATCTCAAAATGTAACACATTGGTCCCATTTAATGTATCATTCTCAAAATGTTGAAATTACAGAAATGGAGAATACAGAATAAGTGGAGGCCAGTGGTCAAGAAAGACGGACGGGGAGGAATATGGATGGGACTCGGGAATGGATGGCACTAGGGAGATAGTTGTGATAATAGTTTAACGGCGTATGCTGACTGTAACTCTACCCATTTGCAAGTTAATTTTTAAGTTAATTTTCAAAACAGAGCTTAAGAATTAGAAACCTGACTGCGGAAATTAAAAACCCAATAAACTGGCAGGTGAAGTGAGATCTGTCAAAATGAGCAAAAAGACAAAAAATGTGGAAAACAGGTGAAAAAGTCCACGAGTCAATCACACAGATGCGATATCAAAATAATGCATTTGAAAAGAGAAGATGGAGAAAATCAACATTATTTAAAAGGTAATTCAAGATGACCTTTAAAAAACCTTTCTGGAGCCACTAAAACCAGTGATTATAGAGCCCAATCAAGGAGTTATCTTTGTGAAATGTCAGAACACTGTGTTGTAACACAAAGAATCCACAAAGTTCCAGAAAGAAAACAAAAAAATCAAGTGATGCACACCAAGGAGCATAATTGACCCTGGCCTTCCTGGCAACACTGCATGGTAAAGGCACACGGCATGATGCTTTCCATTGGCCGAGGACTCCAAGAATCTGTGCTCTATCAAAATGCCACCAAGTAAGTAAATGTGAAGGTAAATAAGAAATATACGTTCTGTATACTTGAAATTCAAGAAACCACTAGGAACTGTGTTTCACTAAAACCAAAAAGTACGTGGGACCTCTTCATCCAAGGACACAGAAAATGTCTCCTTGCTCCTCCTCCTTCCCTCTTTCCCGTATTACTGATCTCAGAAACAGTTATGGCACCAATGAGCAACCCATGTGGAGAATCTGTCGTCCCTCATACCTTCATTTCTCAAAGCTGATGGTATACCCAAATTAAGCACTATTTCTTAATTTGGTCCATCATCCTTAACTGGGCTGGAGCGATAGCACAGCGGTAGGGCGTTCGCCTTACAAGCGGCCAACATGGTCGACCCGAGTTCAATTCCTCCGCCCCTCTCGGAGAGCCCGGCAAGCTACCGAGAGTATTCGATATGCCAGACACAGTAACAACAAAGTCTCCAATGGAGACGTTACTGGGCCCGCTCGAGCAAATCGACGATCAACGGGAGGGCCTTTACCTTTACCTTTACCATCCTTAACTATCCCCTCTCGGAGAGCCCGGCAAGCTACCGAGAGTATTCGATATGCCAGACACAGTAACAACAAAGTCTCCAATGGAGACGTTACTGGGCCCGCTCGAGCAAATCGACGATCAACGGGAGGGCCTTTACCTTTTTATCCTTAACTATAGATTGCCAGGGTGCTAAGTATCCTAACCAAACTCCCTCTTTCCAATCCTGCCTTCCACACATCCAATCCTCCACCCTGTGGCTTGCAATGCAAATCTGATGGTGTCACTAGTTTCCATAAACTCAAAAACTTCTGAAAACCATGACCAGCAGGCAAGGCAACAAGTGGTCATCACACTGTTGCTGGCCACAGCTACTTCCCCTACCGCGCCATTACTGCCGATGGGGTGCCTGCTGGACCTATATCCGGTCTTCTAGTTTGCTTCAGTCCATGCATGCCCCCTGGGAGATGAACCAATTAGCAACCTGTGTCTGGCCTAAAGGGCCAGAACTTCAGCCATGTGCACAAGGCTTGATGGCGGTCCTTGCAATCCAGAAAACTTCATACTCCCTTACTCCCAACTGTCATTGGGCAGTTCTGCCTGGGAGGAGGAGGCTTTTGGGGGTTTTGTTCCAAATTTTTGGTTTGGAGCCTCACCCCGGGGTGCACATGTGCATGCAACTCCCATGTTATTACTCTGAAGTCACTCCTGGTGGTGGTTTTGGGGCTGGTTGTGGGGCTGGGTGGGGGGTAGGGGAAACTACACAGGGGCTGGAGATCAAACCCCCAATCTGCATTCCAGCCTTTGGAGCTATTTCCCTGGTGAGGGGATGCTTCTGCCTAGGCTAATAGCCCTGCCCTTTCAGGCCTTGTCCGGGGCCCTCGCCTCACCTCCTCCAGTGGCGTCTGACCTCCTCCTGGTGCTCTCCTAAGACCGTGGTCGCCAGGTATCTTGTAACCTGGGCTGTTCGCAAGTTTCCTTTGCAAGACCAAACTTAGGAAAGGACAACGGCATTGTGCCCTTCACTTTTTGTTCCTAGCACCCAGTGCACCAGATGAATGCAACAGGCGTGACTGAAATGGAACAAGCACCCAAGAAACAGTCAGGGAAGTAAAAGGTTTGTCAGGAGAGAGAGGGGGGCCGCCGAAGGCGCATAAGGGATGGTCTGCTGGATCCTGCTCTTCCTGCAACCCCTAAGTCGGCAATGCCAGCAACTTTTAGGCTTTGCACCTTTTCGATGTTTTGCTCTTTTCGTGTTGGGGCTTCGAGGGCGCTGCTGTTTCTCACTCCCAGATCAGCTGCCCTGGGCGGGAAGGGACTGTCTTTATGCACTTCGCTCCTCTGGGGTGGGGGACAAACCCCGCTTTGCAAGCAGCAGCAGGGGCCGGGGGGGGGGGGGGGGGGGGGCGGTCTCTCGGTGGCACCGGCCCCAGGCCCCGGGTCCGGCGTCCCCCTGCGCCGCCCCGCCTCCCTCGCCTCCCAGACCCCTCCTCACGCCGGCCGCTTGCTTCCCGCCTTCCGGGCGGCGGAAGTCGCCGGCTCCTCGGCCCTGCCCACGTGGAGCCCTTTCCGGTGCGCCCGCCCCCGCCGGCTCTCCGCTGCGGACCTGGCCCTCACCTCAGGGTTCCCAATGTGCCTCCGGACAGACATATTTGCTCCAACCGACCACGCTCGGGCTCCTAGCCTCGCCGGTTGCCGCTAACCCTAGCTTCCTACCCCCCCTCCCCGCGCTCTCGGCCACCTCCCTGCAACCTCGTCTCCGATTGGTCGGCTCTGCCCGGCCAGCCAATGAGAATCCCTTTTGCTCTCTCTGGGCGGGGGTCAAAGGAGAGCGCGGAGCGGCTGAAAGGTTGCCTTGGCAACGCGGGACGCCGGCGGCGGAGGCCCTTTGTGCGCTCTGGCTCGGGTCCCGCGGGCTCGGGGCTTAGCGCGGGAAGAGAGGCGCCCGGGTGAGGGGGGGCGGTGGGGGAGGGCCGGCGCCTGCGCTCGGAGAGCGGGGGGGCGAGGAAAAGACCGAGTTAGACCCGAATCCCAGGCACCCCGCCCCTCACTTTTAAGGGCCCCTTTCACCGCACCATCCAGGCATCTTCTGGAGATGGGACGGGAGCGTTCAGCAGGAATGGGAATCAGTAGCTTATTATTTTCAGGTTAAGTTAATATGCAAATTATGCAAAATATCAGGCGTAAATACAGTAATTATTGTTGCTTGAAAAGCTTTTAGCCAGCTAGAGAATGGCAGGCTTAATTGCAAAGCACACGCACCATTCTGTGATTCATCATTCATTTAACAAATATTTAATAAGCACCTTATGAGAAAAGCTGCACTGGGTTTTGTGGAGGATGGGAGGATGACTAAGACCCAGTCCCGTTGTCACGGCAACCATTGTGACTCCTGCCACCAGCCACCACCTGTTCTTATTCCCGATCTGAAAATTAAGTCTTAGCACCTTTACAGAACAATCACATACACAGAGTTTGGCTTGGCTCCAGAATGTCCCACTAAATCCATCAAAATTAGTATTACTGTTATTTTGCATATGAGGAACAGCACAGTAACCCTTTGTCCTTTCCCTCGGAGTTGCTTTTCCAGGAATGGGGAAAGGTTATCCCGAGCTGACTCTGAATAATAACACACATCTGAACGACAGGGTCTGTGCAGGTGATCCCCTGCACAGCCTCGCCTGCCCTTTCCTTCTGCATCCCACCCTTAGGGCCATACCTTGAATCCTGCTGTGGCTCACAGTGGCTTGACCTTCAGGATCTTAACCAGATCCCAGTCAGTCTCTCACACTTTCCTGCCTCCTGTGGTCCACTCTCCTATTCTTCAGCCTCTCCGTAATCTCTTTTCTCAGCTCTCCACCAGATAAGAGTTTGAGACACTGAAAAGTGGAAGGGAGTTAATGGGGAGGATATTTATCTAGCAGCTTTTGCCCTGCTAGTAGAAGTTTCTAGATTGATTACTACTTAGTCTGTGTATGCTTACCTACTGTAGCAGTGTGAGGGGGGTGATGAAAGATATTAGCAGTGGAACAAACGAGAGAAAGAAAAGGAGAGGGAGATCATCAGGGGCGGAATTAATTCCTTTTAAAAGGGAGAAAAAAGCAGAAAGATTTAAAGACGTTGTTGGGAAAACTTAATATACAGGAAGAGAGGCAAGATGTTCAAGTAGTAAGAAGACATTGAGGATAGCTATAAACTCCCCCCCCCAAGTATTTAGAAGAGGCAAATAATAAATCATAAAAGAAAAACATTGGCTAAATATATGAAGACATGTCCTGCTAATACTGAAAGGAGCAAGTTGCCACTCCCCCACCCCAAACAATTGGACAAAGATTTTTTTTGTTTTTTTCTTTTACAAATAATAATGCTCAGTATTGACTATTGATTCATGAAACCAAGCTTTTACGTTGTTAATGTGAATATAAAGGTTGGTGACCATTTTGAAAAGCCATTTGAGAGTGGGTTGCAAAGCCCTCAAATATTCTGAGATTTCCTCCTGAGGACAAAATCCAAAAAATGCACAAAGATAATTATTTTTACATCTGTTCACTGGGATCTTATTTATTCAAAATAAAAAATTAAAACCACCTATTTGATCATTTTAAAACATGATCAAAATAAACAATAGAATATTTATGAAAAGTAATATGGGATCTTGTAAATTTTGTTTGAAGGAATAATTAAGGTAAATGAGAAACTGAGTGTAATATAGTAAGTGAAAAGTACAAGAAAAGAAGTCTTTTAAATAATACAGTCCTGATTTGTGTGGAGGTGTCCAGGAAAATACAGGTATCCAACAAGAAAAACAATTGAAAATAAGATTCAACATGCAAACAACCTCTGGGCTTGTAATAGAAATATTGGTTTTTTTTTCACACTTTTGTGTCGTCTGCAGATTTTCTTTAGTGACCACAAATTTATTCTACACACACACACACACACACACACACATATATATATGTATGTATTTTCTTCCTAGGAAACAAAAGACCCTGTTCCAACTTCAGCCTGAAATTGTCTCTGGCCTTTGTCTGGGCCAGTTTGTAGCGGCGCTGAATGCGGTGTAATTCCTCTTCTGAAGTGCTACCACTCTCCTCTTCTTGGCAGTAAAAGACTCTCCAGACACTTGAGTAAGATCCTTGCAATCAGATGGTGATTGCTAAGAGGTTCAAGCTTTGTTCATAAGAGAAGAAGTTCTGATTCCTTTCTTTAAAAGTTCCTACTTCCACTGATTAGTCGTATTTTTCGCGAAGTTAGAAGTGCTCTTGTAAACTTCCATTTGTTTGATGTCTTCCTTTTAACCCTGCATGCATTCCAGAGGGCTCTGGTTCCTGCAGCGTTGGGGGGAGAGGGGCTGGCCTGTGGGTGCTCCTGTTCTGGATTCGTCCAGACCCCCACCCCCAGTCTTCCTTCTTTGAACCTAGATGGGCATTTGGGTGTCCAGCTGTCGGACCCTCTGCAGAGTTTCTTCCTTCTGACCTGCCTCTGTTCCAAATCCATCTCACCCTGCCTCTCTCTGTCCAAATGAACTCTGCAGCCCTCACTCTCAGCTCTCTGCCGTCGAAGGGTCAAAACTCAGACCTGTCTGCCTCCTGATGTTGCTCTCCCACATGGACCCTGACTTCTTTCCTTCTGTGGGTGCACATCCTGGGGTTTCAGGGAAAATTCTGCTCCATCCAATCTAGTCCTAGTGACCCTTCTCTGGCCTCACACCCCCACTTGAGGCGAGCTGTACTTGAGGCGAGCTCCCAGATCTGCAAGCCCTGCTCTGTAATGCAGCTCCTGTCATTCTGGTAACCATGTGGGGTCATTCTACCTGGTGATGGAATGTACCCTGGGGAGCTCCTAGATCTCTGAGTAGAGGGCCAGCCCTTGCCCCCTCCAGCTTAGTCCAAAACTGAATTGAGGGCATCCAAAGGCTTCAGCCATGTCTGTCTCCCTTCCCAGGATGTGACAATATTTCCTCCCGGGAATTGTTGCGAACTGACCCTTTCAGGCTGCCCAGTTTTCTGGAGGAATTAAGAACTCTGATACTTACCTGTTACTTAGTGGAGGTGGCTTGGCATCCCATGCATGCAATTCTGCGACCATTCCTGAGAGCCACATGAGGCTCTTGCATGTGAAAGGACATCTGCAGTCCAGTCCCAGGCTATCAAAAATATTTACTTCCTGTCATCAAGTTCAGAGCATTTGCTACCACAGGCCACCTTCTGCTCTGGGCTTGGATCTGCATTGAAGATTTCTTTGCCACACACCCAGTTTCTGAGGGCCTCTGAGGAGCCAGCCTGGGCCGGGGGAGGGGGGGGGGGGGATGTGGGGAGAGCCAGCATTGGAGGTGATCAGATCTATTTGAGCCCACTGGACACCTGGTATGCCTGTTCCCATGAACATAAACACCCTGTCCACCCTCCACGCCGCCCCCCCTCCAAATCTGGCTCAGATATGTCTGAGATGCACATTTCTCAAAATAATCTAAAATCTTAGGTTTCTATGCGAAACCTACAGGTCATTAATTTGCAACCCCCCTGCTAGACTGCAACTATAATGCCTGTCCTTCATGGTTTTGAACTAATCAAAATCATATCCAGGGTAAAAGCAAACAAATATTAGGGGGAGTTCTTTCTGGGGACAGAAAAACGCTAATGGGCTGTCAGTTCTTTCTTAATAAGGAAAAAATGAAAAAAAAAGATAACTTCACAGTGTTTTAACAATAAGAAAAAGGTGAAAATTATATCTACAATATCAGAAGTTTTCTTGAATCCTTCAGAAGGCTGAGATTTCAAAGCTGCCCACCACATACAATTGCCCAAAGGAATAAGAGCCACTGAAGACTGCAGGGACACAATGGTTGCTTCCTCTTTGGTAGTGCTAGAGAAAAGGTGCCAGAATTTTTTGTTGTTTGTTGTTGGTTTTGTTTTGGGGGTCACAGCTCTCTGGAGCTCCTGGGGTGCTCAGAATTGAACCCAGGTTTCTCCATCCCAAACCTTCACTCCAGCCCTTTGAGCCATTTCCCCAGTCCCCAGCCTTAATCTAACATATCATTTGGGGTAGATATCTTATTCTAAGATGTTTATGGAAAGGGACTTTTCAGGTGAGATTAACATTTACGTTATAGACTCTTAACAAAGCACATAGATGTTAATAGCTTAATGGGTTGAACACAAGCTTCGCGCGCAGAAGCCTCAGCACTGTGTGGTCTCCGGAGCACTCCTGGTGGGCTGCCTCCCAGCACAGAGAGAGCAGAGAGTATACCCCGAGCATGGGCAAGTGTGGTCCCCAAACCAAACAAACAGAAAGATTGAAGTCTTTGAAGAAGAGGGAATTCTGACCCCAATATGCCTTTAGGTTCTAGCTATGACATCAACTTTTCCCCAAGATTATACCCGCGCTCCCACCCTCTGCCCAGGCCTACTTTTACCAAAATATTAATAATGATGATGATGATAATAATAATAATAATAATAATAATATCATCGTGGTTTCCTTCCAGTGCTACAATGCACAGGAGAGAAAGAGAGAGAGAGAGAGAGAGAGAGAAAGAGAGAGAGAGAGAGAGAGAAAGGGGTGGACTTCTCATCAAAAGATAAAATAAAACAGTCTCATCAATAAAGACCTATCAGACAGGAACTTCTGAATAACCATGACTAATATTAAAAAATATAGTGATAAAGAATGGAGAATTGAGGCAGATAGATGGGGAGCTATAAAAAGGAAATGAGAGAAAAAATTTTTAAT